TTATTATTTTACTCTAATTTACGAATAAGTCTCAAAATAAAATTTGTTTACGAAAAAATCATGAATTACCGATGAAAGTGATTATTTGACACTTTTCTCCCTATAACACATTTTACCGGTTTTGTTGCTGAGATGGATGCCTAGTCATTAAATGAGTTGATGAGATAGATATAATGATACATTTAACATAAAACTTGATATCCATCTCATTAGTTCATTTAACGACTAGGCTTTTAGGTCAACGATGAAACAAGTAAAATATGTGTTACTGGGAAAAAAAGGCGGGAAATGAACTGATGAGATGAGTATGTTGGGTTACATAAAACTAGATAGATAATTTGAAATTACTTATAAACTTCAAAAATGATGAAGTTTAATATTTTAAAAAAATATATTCATATCATCAGCTCATTAATGATTAGGCGTCAAAGTCAACAATGAAACCGGTAACATGTGTGTTATAGGAGAAATGGCCAAATCGTCACTTTTACTGGTAATTCATATTTTTTCGTAAACAAATTTTAGTTTGGGACTTGTTCGTAAATTAAAGTAAAATAAATGGAAATTTCTCATTGCAATAAGCTCAAAATATAAGCTAGTTTATAAGACTTACAGAATCATCACCGAGTGTGACTTGTCTCAAGCGGGACCCACCAGGAGGAGCACCGGTACCATTTCTTTCCCACATTGGTGAAGCTGTGTTACTTTTGGTCCCAACCCGTTTAGGGTGTGTTGGGGATTCAAATGATTTTGGTCTTGATGGTGTTGTTGACTTTGTGGAGTCGCTGTTCTTGACTTCAGCTTCTTCATGGGCCTGAAAACAAGGTTTACTATATTAGAAGGGTCAGGAATTGGAATCTTGAATTCCATTCCGCAGTGCGTTTGGTTGCCAAACCAATGGAATTGGGTTTCGGGAGACTTTCTTAAAATCCATGTTTGAAGGAATTGTGTTTGGTTCGTAGAATGTTTTTGAAAGGAAAGGAATTAGAATATGAAGGAATCGGGTTTGGTTGGCAGAAAATGATGGAATTGGATAATTTTATTGTATTTGGATCCAAATAATGAGAAATCATAATCGTATTTCCTTTACCTAAAAAATCAAAATTAATTATTACCTCTTAAAATCATAGTAATAATCTGTCTAAATTGCATAACCAAACACTCCCATAATCTGACATAGCACCATCGGTTATCATCTAAATCCAAGTAAACTATATATCAATTCTGAATCCTAGAAACTTCATCCGAAATTTGGAAAAAATCCAGAGATTTAAAAAGGTAATAAATCATGAGAATCATCACATATTCACATCAGATCTCGTTGAACCATCAACAGCTAGAAGATCTCTTCTCACAAAGTAAATGTATATTCAAAACCCTAAGTGACATTAAAGAATGAAGACTATGAACATGATCTAGCTTCAATGTAGCGAATCCTCATTAATCACAAAATGTGCAATCATTCAATTACTGAAAACATAGATACGGAGCAAAAAAGGGGGGGAAAATCATCAGCGGAGCTAAATACAAGAAGCATGTCGATTTTGGGGAAAATAAAACCTAGAGTATAGCAAACACCGTAAAAGCACTGCGTGATCGTTGTGAACGGAGTTCATATATTCTTCAACAGAGTAGAGATAGAATAAATTTGGTGAAGAAATGAACTTACTGCCATGATTGGAGTTGCTTGCAGCTAAAAACACAACCTGTTTATGAGTCGACAAATCAGGTTTTGCTCATAAAGCCGAAGTATGCACAGGTCAGAGAGAATAAAGAGAGAATGAAGGGTTGAGTGGTGGCCACCGGTGACATTTATACGATCTGGGACTTTTCTTGTTTGGCTGCTCAGACCTATAGTTGACTTAACAGTGAAAACGATAGAGAATGTAGATAACAGTCATGTTAATTAATACTTTATAATTATTAACCCAGTCTCTCTCGTCATAACCAAACTCACAGCTTCTATGGTACTAGGTTTTCCAAGATTTTGGGTGATTATTTATGCTTCAAAAGTCACTATTTTATGGGGTTGCTAATAAGAAATCAGTTAAACATTGCAATTTTAACTAATAAAAATATTTTAAAAATTAATTAAGGTGTATATGGTAAAATAAAGTGTTTTTTTAGCTAACTCTTATTTTTTTACATGATCATACTATAGACATACCAACCTATACCAATCTACATCTTTAAGTTTACTTAATGATCATACTATCGACATACCAACCTATACCAATCTACATCTTTAGGTTTACTTTTTAAATGAATGATGATACTTTTAAAGTCATCATTACAATGTAATTATTATTTGACCAATTTTTATTATTAGTTTATTATTATCTAATCAATAAATCATTAGTATTTAATAATTATATTTTTATTACTAATTATATTAATATTAATAACTTTAAATATATTTTTTATTAAGATAAAAAACCAACAATAGTATTGATTTATAATATAATAAACTACATAATATTATAGAAAAAATATATTCTAGAAAAATCATCCTCAATCTCCTTTTTTTTTCATTTCAAATATTAGGTAAGAAAAACTGAGATAAAAATATATAATGATTAATGTATGCTTACCTTCAATTAATTACACACATTTGAAGAATATGTCTAGGCATTTAGCATTATATTAGGTCGGTAAAAATATATTTGGTCGGTAAAAAATAAAATATATAACGTACCTCCCTTTAATGCATTATTAAATCCGCACTACGTAAAAATTCACAAATGATTACGTTAGTATAATATTTTTTTTGAACCGACAAATATATTAAAAAAATCACCAAATACAAAGTAGATAAGACCTCACGTAGTGGATCCGTAACATCTAAACCGTATAATTTCCATAATCTGAGTTTTTATCATTAGGATCACAATAAATAAAAATAAACTAAATTTGAAAAACAAATTAAAAAAAAAAAAAGGAAAGTAGTAAGGGCCGGAAGAAAATTTATATTTGTTTTTAAGATGAATAATAATTTATATTATATAATACAAATATAATTATTATATTTATTACAATAAACATAAAATAAAATACTTAATATATATATATATATATATATATATATATATATATATATATATATATATATATATATATATATATATATATATATATATATATATTAGGTGGGTAAATGATGAACACAAAAGAATAAAAGGAGATAAATAAAAGAAAAAAGTGGCTATTAGTCAAATATTACATTTTATTACATTCCTCAATCTCATTTTAATTCGAACAAATATTACATTTTATTTACTGCATGGTATATTAGACAAAAAAAAGAAAAGAAAAGAAAAAAAAAAGAACTACGTGCTTTAAAATTTACATTTTTTGTTATATAATTCAGTAAATTCATTATAAATTGTAGAGTTAAATAGTATTATAAAGTATAACATATTTAATATTAAAAAAACTGTGTAAATCTTGAACACGCAAATCAAAAAGAATTCAGATAAAAAAGTAAAAAATTAAAAAAAGCCCAGAGATTTGTAATTAAAAAACCTTATCTATTTTTAATAAAAGAGTACTTTGCAGGATACGTGTCCCTCTTATTCAACTCCTCCTTGCCACGTGTCTTAACCTGGAATCTCTTATGCAAAATTTCCCGCCCATCCTTTACAGCAATTATATCACCTCCTAAAATTCAGCTCATTTACTTGCATATAAAGTCATAAAAAATTAAATATCGATACATCACCTCCTAAAATTCAGGTCAATTACCTGTATATAAAAACAGATATTAAAGATATTAATCCTATAATTTTGGTAAATTTATGGTCAATCCTACATTTATGGTTATTTGTTTTACAACATATATTTTGAAATTTAAAAAATAACAATCGATATTATCTTATCTTGTAATCCTGTAAATCAGGAATCAAATTAACCCAAATCTTTGCAGAAAAAAAAAAGAGAAAACGAAATTATAGTCAAAGATTTTAATTTGAAACAATTTCCCACTAATCAGATCCAAAAAAATCAGGAATAAAATCGGCAAAATAAAATACTTTTCTGCAATTAATAAAATTTTTGTGCTTCATTACTCTCTGCATATTTATATTAACCCATCGATGCCCATAATCTTCTACTGCTTTGCCCTCAACTTTGAGTTTCTTAACTGCTCTGCTTTTCCGATTTGCAAAAGGTTAGTAAAACACTTATTTCTATTAATTTTTCAAATTAACATCAACCTGTACATCTATTTCTATAATTTCAATCTTTCTTTTTCTCTTTTTTTTTTTTTTTTTTTTTTTTTTTTTCTGTCTTTGTGTTTAGAATGTAAATTCGTTTCTTTTCCTTTCTTTCTTGAACATATATTTACATCAATTAATTGACTGTCATTCTTGCTATATTTGCACACAATGAAGGTACGATTTTAAAAGTTGCTATTTCTTATTATATGTTTACACAATATGTTTCAATAATTTGATTTTACATTTCATTCAATCCCTTCAACACTTTCACTGTTTCACGTGTCAATTGCTATCTACTCTAATGCTACACGAAAACCATGATAACTATACATTAGGTTATCAGCTTGGTTGTTCTTTGATAATTAATTCAACTTATTTTACATTGCTTTTTCGATCTGTGTCATTTTATATATGTTGATTTTTCTGTGCAGAGAAATGGCACAACCAAATGTTACTTTGATTTCGGATTTGGATATACTTAAAGATGATTCGACTATCAAAGTTAAAGTGATAAATCTATGGAACCTTTTTTCATTCTATAACAATGCTGAAGTTTTCTCGATTGAATTAATCTTAATAGATGAACAGGTATTTTACAACTTAACACTATATATTCATTAGACATTCAAAATTTAATATGATTTGATGATAATTTTATATATCATACTTCTTTTAGGGTACCAAGATCCAAGCAAATGTATTAAAAAAAACATCTATCGATTCAAAAACATTCTAAAAGATGGCTTGGCATTTTACATACAATGTCCAAGCTTTGCATCTCAAAGGATGGGTGGTTTTACTTTAACTCGGCAACATCATAAACTTACTTTTGTCCATAACACTGTTCTTACGGAGTGTCATGACTTTTCTGGACCTGCATTTGGTTTTGAATTTGTTGATTACCAGTCTATTATTTCATTGACCCATCCTGAAAACACTGCTATCGGTTAGTTGCAATTTGTTATAGATTAATTATTGTCAATTTTATGGTTTGAATAGTATATCATGTTTTTAAAATCATAACAAAATTTAATTCATCTTTTTTGATGCTCATAGATGTTATTGGATTGGTCGTTGCAATTGGTGAGATGGAGAAAGACAATGATGATATCAAAAAACACAGACTCAACATCCAAATCCAAGATGCAAAGTTTGTTATTTTATATTTTATTTTATTTTATTGGATATTAGATTATCTAATTATAATTTCATTTAATTTAAAACTTTTATTTGGCAATGGTTTGCAACTAAGTATCAATTTGTGGGGTGATTTTGCTTACAAAATGCAACGGTTTCTTGATAACAATCCACACAATCTTCGTATCATCGTTATCATTCAATTTGCGAAACTTAGTATTTGGAGAGGTATACTATAGTATTTTGTTATTAATTATTTTTTTAATCATTAAATTAAAACTTATTAAAAAAATTTTATAGATCGTCCCACAGTTAACACCTATTTTGCCGTGTCGAAGCTGTTTATTAACACAGACATTGATGAAATCAATGTTTTTAAGAAAATGTATTTTATGTTATATCATTCTAATTTCTCCGATTAACTTTTATGTCACTAATATTAGTTATATGTGATTAATATTACTTATTTCATTATAATTTCTATATTTATCTTTTATGTCATTAATATTATTTACTTTTATCTATTTCATTCAAATTTCTACAATTAATTTTTATGTGACTAATATTAGTTAATTTTTTTTAACAAACAGTTTGGATGGAGATGATCGCCCTGATTCATCCACAAATACATTCACACTTATGAAGTCTAATAAAGTTTCTGAACATGATGATTTCATGGTTAAGTTTCAGTTGAAGACAATTGTTGATGTTTTAGAACCTGTGGAGGTTCGGTTTTTATAAATTTTATAATATTTATAAACCTACTTTTTTTGTTATGTATATAGCATAATAAAAATAAAATTAATATGCAGAAAAATACTTTCAATATCATGGGCACTATAAAGGGAATTTTACAAAATGAACCATGGCATTATTTGGCATGTACAAATTGCAACTACAAAGCAATTCGGCCTCCTGGTGCAGAAGATCAAGTTGATGATGAAGGATTAACTGGTTATGAATGTCATAATAAGGATTGCACAAAAAACAAAACTACGGTTATTCCGAGGTTATTATTTTCCTCCTGAATCATTAAAACCTATATTATATTTTATATTGTAATTAATATATTTTGGATTTTCCTTTTTTATAGAATGATGCCCACAACTTTAGATTGTTCCATATCTAAAGAAAACAAGAAATTATTAATTTTGTTACTTAAGTAATATATATTGCTACCTATAGCACATTTCAAAATACAATGCTTATTTTCGAACCAATTATTCCTCCCGGAGTCAGAGAAACAGTTATTGATTTAGTGGTTTAAGAGCAAAATTAATATATATTGTTATAAAAGTGTAAACAACAATTTTTTGATAGTAGAATGTTATAATAGGAATAAATAAAAGAACTATAAAAATTTAGTTTTTTCCATTAATGGTTACTATTTTGTTGATAAAAAAGTTTGAAAAATATAGCAACATGTTAGTATTTTTAAAAACAAATCGAAATTTTTATGTGTTTTATAGGTTTAAAAGATAGCAGATGAAGGTTGTATAGTTTCTAATCATATAATTACACAAAATAAATAAATTGTTTATGCATGTTAAATGCTAAATGCTAAATGAGTAACATATAATGGTTGAGTAACATATATAGGTTGAGTTAGAGTAAAACATTATTCTCCAGATTTTCCTAAATATTTGTTACATGCTAAATACAAACATGTCGCATCTTTTCTAAAAACATATATTCTAAAAAAAAAATCAAAGGCTATACTAAGCAAAAAAAATAAGAATATATTTTCATTTCGTGCATTTAGCCTACATTTTAGGTAGTGGTGAGGGGAATCGTTCAAAATTGTTGTTACATTACAGATATGACAAAATTATATAAAAATTGGAGAATTGATTATTGCAATAGCTTTGTATTCTCTGTCGAACAATAAAAATGAACTCATAATGACTTTTAACTAAACAATTCGAAACCACATCCATTGATTTTGTAACTATTTGCCATAAAAAAGAATCACACAATTTTAAATAATTTAAACTCATTCAAGAAGCATGTATATATTAATGAAGAGGATGTGAGTGTGTCCCACCATAGCAAGCAAACCGAAGGTTTATCAATTCTATTGGATAGAGAGATGTACATTATAGAAACCGAGATTAATGAACCTAAAATTATTAAGTAAATTAAATAAACAGAGGATGTGTTAATTCTAATTCATTACCAACACAATTGGTTTCATTTTATACCTTTTTATCATATTCACCATTTCAAGGATAGTAATCCATCATCATCAGCACAAAAATTCATTCCACTACCCTACAAGAAATATCAAGGATTATGAATGAGTTATTTAAGGATAAATCAAGAAAATAATCTAAGAAAACTTTGGACAAAATAGTTTGTATTGCAGTTTTAGACAATTGAGTTACCTTTAATATCAAGAAAATTGTTATTTTTCATTTTAACCCTTGTGCATAAAATCCTAAATAAACATCTATGCATGCACTTATACATCAAGTAATAAGAGTTTTAATAAACTATATGGATTTTTGTAATTTGTCACATACCATTTTTATTGGCCCGCAAGATAATGAATCAGTAGTAAAAACTAACTGATTTTGATTGAAATAGGGATTAAGGGTATGCAAAAAGATAAAGGTTGATAAAATTGAACAATGATTTAAACTAACATAAGTATCTTGAAACACACTGACCCACCAAAACATCGATTCTTTATCACAACTGAAATATGGATCAGATATAGATTATCTGTATTATACATAAAATTGAAAACCTTACTATACAATGATACGAAACTCATATAATTTAGAAGGTATATCAAATAAATTAATTGTTTTATTTACTCATATGATCCCGTAAATAATCATTAACGAGATTTTGTCTAAAATTTAGCAATTTCAAAATTCAAATGTTTAAACAAACACTCAAATTTCAAAAAACGAACGAAAACCATTTCTACCTTGTTGTGTTTCCGCTATTAACGAATGTGAGTTTATTCTTTTGAACGACTTCACTTTTCGCTTATATCTTCAGTAACAACAATTCTGGAACAAAGAAAAATAGGTAAATTTTCTTCGACATAATCTATTTTCTGTTAAAAAAACTAAGATTAATCATCAGTTGATCATCTCTTATCTTGAATCTTGCTTTCTTCAAACCCCAATGTTGCGTTCAACCAGTCTCTGAGTTCGACAATGGGATTACTCGACGTAAGGTTTTCTTCACTTCACATTTCTAATCGGTGGTATATTAGTATCTTCCTTTATCAATACATGGATAAACGTTCATAACCTTTAACAAATCGAACGGTGGCTATGGAAATGTGTATGTAATCAAAATTCTAGGGCTGTGGTTTTTTGTTTCATCGTGTGTGTTACAGACAAAAGGGAAAGGGGAAAGTTTGGGGAATGGTGATAAATGTTAGGTGGGTTTTATTATAAATCAAAAATTATGAATAATCTTTAAAATGGTTAAAATTAAATTTATTTAATTTCTCATGTTTTTTATTTACTTTATGCATAAATACGGTTTTAAATGTCAACCGTTATATGTTAAACATTTGAATACATTAGCTGTATTGGAATTTTCAATATATATATATATATATATATATATATATATATATATATATATATATATATATATATATATATATATATATATATAACCTTTCAAAATCGAGCATGGACAATGATAAAAATACGTTATCACTTTCTCTAACATAAAAAAAACCACTTTTATGATCGATAAATAAATTATGTTTCTCCAATTGTATTGCCATATAACATAAGTTTCGCCTTATGATTTATAGCTATCTTTAGTTTGTTATTATTATTCAATTTCTTAATTGAAGTTTATTTGGATTGCATAAGTTATCAATCATTTGTAATAGTTATTTTAAAATTATTAATTTTTATAAGTTAACTTACTGATTTTATTATATATCAAAGAAGAATATGGATGCTACATATGCTAGAGAAAGAAGAAGAAAGAGAAAGTTATACTTGGAAAATAAAAAATCTAAGAATAACTATACCGTAGAATCGTCTCAACGTATATCTATTGCACATGTTACTCATTTTAGCCAATACGGTAATTTTCTTACTTTGTTTTAAATATTTAATATATTTTATTTAATTATTTTTAATCTACTGTTCATTATTATTTTAAAAATAATTAATTTTTTATAAAATATAACATATTTAATTTTATATAAAAAATGTTCTTAAATTATTTACTATCATTTTACAGGTTCAATTAACACTACAGCTTCTACAAACGCTAAAGATAGAAGAAAAATTAGAAAGTTATATCTGGATCATAAAAAATCCAAAGTAAATTCTAAAACATCTACCCATCAAAAATCACCTATTACACATGTTTCTTACATATCAAATAACGGTATTGTTATTCTTTTATTTTATAATTCTTTTTGAACTATATAAATTATATCAAATTGCTAAATTCTAAAGTTTAATTGTTTTTTTATAATTAATTTTATTAGTTTTATTATTAACAATATTTCTTTTTTTTTTCATTACATAACAAATGTCTACAATCGTCGTAGTCATTTAGTATCTGTAGATAACTACAGAAACGTTACATCACATAAGGAAAATCTAAACTCAGTCAAACCATTTGTATATCAACATACAACTATTCATTCTCAGTCTGCAGATGTAAATGTTAGAACTCCTTTATCTAACATTTCAAATGGTATGCATTTCTTTATAGACAGACTCTAAAATATATGTTTACCAGTTATATAATTTATACAAATTCCTAACGTTATAATTTGTATTTTGATTTTTTTAGGAAATTATATTTTTCATAATAACATTCAAACACCGCTATCTATTAACAATGATAATCCATTGTTTGGTATTGGCATGACATCTACCGGTCGTTCAACCATCACTCAAAAATCTTCATCAATCAAGTTACCAAAAGGAAAACATCAATTAAAAAGGAAGACTACACACATATCTGCTATACCTATGATTGACTTGACATTAGATGAAGAAATTAATAATGACCATATTATTCAAGATGTTTTTCGCGGTACTTCACAAGGTGATCATAAATATAGAAAATTTAATATTTTTATTTAATCTTTTAAATTATATTCATTATTTTTAATTTATTTATGGGATTCAACAGATTACTTGGATCATGGAGACCAGATTGTCATATGTCAAATTTGTCATGCAAAACTATGGAAAGATGAATCGCTTAGAGGCAAAAAAAACGGGAATACATCTTATTAGTTATGTTGTGGTTACGGCAAAGTTGAACTACCACCTTTAAAAGAAGCACCATCATCTTACAAAAATCTTTACCGTTCCGTAGATTCTAAAAGCAAACACTTCATGAAGAACATTCGACGTTATAATTCAATGTTTTCATTTACATCCATGGGAGGAAAAGTTGATTCATCCATCAACACGGGCAATGCACCATACATATTTAGACTTAGTGGTCAAAGTTGTCATAGTATGGGAAGTCTTCTACCGATAGGTGGATCTAAACCAAAATTCTGTCAGTTATACATATATGATACGGAGAACGAGATTTCAAATAGATCAACAAGTATTGGGTAAATTTTTACAATTAACTTTAGTAAATCAATTCAATTCATTTTAATTTATTTACTAACAATAAATAATTTTTTATAATATTTTCAGTGGACCAAAGAGCGCTTCTACATCAAGTTCAATATCATATGATCTCCAGATTATAGAATTTTTGAAGGTTATGTTAGATTTGAACAATGTGTTGGTCAAATCTTATTGGATGGTAAGAGACAGTCTTCACGAAAATCTAGGTGCTAATTTGAAGTTAAGATTAATCGGAAAAAGAGAACAAGATGGAAGGACATATAACTTACCAACTTCTTCTGAGGTAGCAGCTTTAATTGTTGGTGACATTTGTGATTCAATTGAAAAAGGGACATCATTGTTGAAACCGCATCTGGATTACTAAAACGTATCAGTGAATTACATCCTTCTTACCTTGATCTTCAGTATCCATTACTATTTCCATATGGAGATGA